TGAAAATATTTACTTAGAGTTTGTACTTAAATAAACAGAGATGAATACTACTACCTTTTCTATAAAACTCACCTAACTTTAAAAACAAAACCTAATTTGTCTTGGACTACTGTTTGGGATGACCTGAGCATGGATATGAAGGTAGATGGAGCAGCCCTCAATAATCAGATGATTATCAGCAGGCTATCTATCACATACCTTCAAAAAACACCTAATGATTACCGTAACTAACAATTTTATTGAATATCAAATTCTTCTTTCCAATCTATATTTCTTGCCAACTTTGTTCTGAAATGCTTTCCAGTTGAGAGACAAAAGGTGGGCGGAGCAGCATATAGCCACCACTCCACCTACTGTCACATAAACAGCAGTTAAGCATTAGCCAAGTTTCCTTGGAAGTTAAGCATTATCCAGCTCCATTAAATCATTGTAAATATCACACCCTACAATGTTAAAGTTGTTTTTTTGAAATCATTACAATCTGGTTTAGCATCCATCCCAACAGTTTTGAAAAGTGGATTGCATAAACTTAAGAAGAAAACCACTTTTTTTGTGTTTTTGGTCCGAACCGCCACTGATGAGCACAGAGAAATCCTTGGCTTTTTTGTGGCGTCTCAGTTTTCACGCTGTTTTTAAGTGTTTATGAGTGTTTTGTGGTAGTCTGTCTGCACTCTTAAGTGGGCTTGATCTGAATGTGTACCATTGAGCAGTCAGATCATGGGTATATTTATTGGCCTGGTAACTAGGGCAAAGGTGGTGTGTGTTAAATATAGAGGGAAGGCCCAGTTGCCTTCTCAGCAACAGCAAAGCGCACACCATAGTAATGGGTTGTGGATGACCGTGCCAGACAGTAACTAAGCCTCTTCACAACACAGTTTGCAGAATCAAGCTCCAGCTGTCCTTAAACGACCTGTGGCAGAGAACTGTGGCGGCCCAGGATTTCATTTACATACAGTATTTCCACAAATTATGGCTCACAGTAGAGCATTATACTGTGAATTAAATGATAATCATCTACAAACCTTAAACACACAATATACAGGCACACGATTGGATGGACTTTGCTTCCCCCCGCCACTTTCTTCTGTCTGAGCTTGTTGTTGCTGCTTGCTCCTTGGTTTGGCTCGGAGCAGCAGGCTCAGTATGTGCCTGGACCTGGCGTGTTGACTTTAGCTGGCCCATGTGTTCTGCTGCTGCCAGAGAGGTGTGTTCTTGGCCCCGGCCAAGGCCAATGCAAATTGAGGGAGGAAGGAAAGTAAGCGGGTGTGTGTTGAGTGTGTGGGTGTGAGCAATTGAGTGTATGGTTTTGTTTGTGATTGTACTTAAATGTGTCAAATGCTACACACACACACACACACACACACACACACACACACACACACAC